TGACTTTCTCCACAGGACAAGAGCTGCTATGCTTGTCGTCTGCTAGCTCTGGATGATTTCTACTTCACCACCAACGAAGCCTAGTAAGAATACACTATCGTTGCGAGGTCGGTTGATTACCGTCGGCGGAATCACCTCGATCTTGAAATGAACTTTTTTTAGCCGTGGCATGCCCATTTATTTTAGCTGTGTGGTCACAGCTCATGCAGGTAAGGTGTACTATCACGTCCAGCGCGCCCTCTTTTTCAGCATCACTGCCCGGCCCTGATTCACTGGTATACCATGGTACGGCACCTGCGCCTGCATCACTAGCACTACGTGTAGAGTCTACACGGCTCTTGCAGGTACAATCATGTACTGAGTGTCTCGGCCAGAGCGACAAAATAATTTTATCGCTGTTGCAGGCATTTAGTTTGCTGACCCCTCGATGTTTCTCCAAGCGCTGCCACTTGTTCCACGAAGTCATTCTCACCCAACTAAGGTAAAACAGTGATGAGGCTTGAGTGAATGGCCATAAGCACGAGAAATGTGCAGGCTGCAACGCCTGACTGATCTCAGCGAGTCGAAATTACCATCGCAGCGGTATCAGCGAAGAAATTGCGTCTAGTTCAAAAATTCCAGCTTCCAATAACAGAAAATAGAACTTTGCCGTCACCCTATACTGATGACCGTTGCCTATGTCCGATTCCTTGCCTCTTGTACGAGTGCTGGTGAGTAAATACCCTGTTTTATATCAAAAGTCAAACTGCGACAATTTCGATGACGCGGAGGAAGTACAAACATGTACTTTTAGGGAAATTTGTGCCCCCCCCCCCCCCCTCTCTTGATCATGATCCTGGCTATGCCCCTGAAATCCATATCACAGTGTGTCCAGTCAGCTGCTGTTTGAGCCAACACCAACAATACGTGGCGGGAGAATTTCTTCTCTTATGCGAGACCAAAAATAGGTTTCCTCCCGCACCAAAATCGAGCTGAAGTCATTTTTTAAACAGCCCATACACATGTACAGTACTGATCGTGTGAGTAGATCTGTGACAGGGAGACACACAAACCCGGGCTTGTACGACTCCCTGGTGTACGACTCAGGGCCGTTGTTGGTAGAAATACCAAAAAATTCTCGACATCGAGTTCTGTATAAGCAAGAGTAGATAGCCCCCGGAGAGTGCAACTCAGATGTCTTTGCCAGCCAAGTCAAAACCAGCAAGTTCTTGTGTTTGTAGTACAGGTAGAGATCGGCTATAGGATTGGTGGTTATAAGAATATACCGCCTATAATGTTATCAGCTTCAGAATTCCAAATCTAAAGTATCTTTTCCACTCAAATTCAACGGTGGTTATAGGAGTAATCCGGTCTGTATATGTATGTCATGGTTTGTAAGTTATAGGAAAATAGGGACAGTCGTGAATCAGATACATGTACTGCTCTATTACTATGTCAGTGTGAGGAGAATTAGAGGGAGAATGTCTCCTGTCCGCCATGTGTTTCTATCCGTACAAGAGAGCAGACTGAGTATGCACAACTGCACATCACATTGCTCAGCTTTTCTCATCTTTAATTCCAGGTACTGTTTTGTAGAATCTACTAACTTACAAGCTTGAGCAGGCCAATGGGAGTTATAAAATTTGGACTTTGATGTATGTGCATGTGAGTGTGTGTATGTGGGGGGGTTGGGGCTTAGAATGTGCAGATCCTTTGTTTGAAAGACGTTCCTGCTCCATTTTTCTTGCTTTCTTCAGATACAAATTTCAGTGCGACGGCCGGCCGTGTGCAAGTATTGCTGGTACTATGGTCTGACGCTAACTGTCAACATTGCTAGCCAAGAACTGACGTGCAGTGAATGAAGCCTGATTGTCAATTCTTGTAAGTTTCAGTCCTGGATCAACAGTTGCTGAACCACAGCACAAACACACAACACAGGCACGGTTAGCAAGCACACCATTCCACTGATCACCAACTAGCGATTACCTTAGCCATCCTCTATGACAGTGAGTTTGTGAACTGTGTGGCATGCTGGACAGCTAAGTTCATGAGTCAAACAGTTTGCTTGAGATTGAGACTGTAGATGTGTTCAGGCGGTAACTAGATGCTAGTTTAGACCAGAGACAGTTGTTGAAGGGGAAAGGATGTGTTGTACTGCAAGACCGGAGACAATTGGTTGGTATGGCAATACAGAATTTTCCCTTAAAGGATTAGGTACTGAAGTATTTTTACAGTGCTATGCAAGATAAAAAGTTTGAACTCTTATCAAGCTGTGCAGGACTTGAAATTGATTCTACAGACTCAGTTCCTACCAGTGGTGTACCCAGGGGGGGGGGGGGGGGGGTGCTTTGGGTGCTTAAAGGGGAAGTTAAGGCAAAAATTAAAATTGGGATTGGGATTCAAGTAGGAAGGGAGCGTCTCAGCTTCCTCGGACCACGACCATTCGACTCAGCACCCCGAAGACTACAACTGGTGAAATTTTAATTTTTGCCTTAACTTCCCCTTTAAGCACCCCCTCAAAATGTTCGACATAGGCCAACGTTCATGATGTACCCACAGGGGCATATGAACAGGTCCGGCAGGTCCGGCATCCGCCGATGTTTCGCCAAAAAAAGAAAGAAAAAGGCAACAAGCTCGTTTTCAACCATGCGGAGGGTCAAGTCCAACACAGTACAACCGGCCAGGAAAGGCTCAAACACATGACTCCTGATGTTCCTGAATGTCCACAAGAAACTGCTGGTTGTCTAGTGCCTGAAGAGTGAATTTGAATGTGGAAGTGAGCATTAGCTTTCCCAATTCAGACAGTTTTAAAACCTCAAGTCTTTCATGATACCACAGTATTTGTTCATATCAATACTTTTACAAGTATAATCGCCCTCTTCATTCAGTAGAGACAGAGTCGAGTGAGCTGTATTCCCGGTGCCAATAGGCGGGCTCACCACCCCTGTATGGCAACTTCCCCATGCCTAACCCCCAAGACAAAGTCAATTCTGAAGTAGTCATACTGGGCGGAGTTAAAAATTAAAAAATTGCGACCTGTATGAGCTAAAAATCCGCCGGACCATTGGAAATCTGCTTCCTACGCCCCTGGCCCATGCCCCTAAAAGTATCATAACTTTGCCACCGTTAGTCTGATTTTTTTGCCTTCCATTCGCTGTCACTAGTTGATCATAGTTAACCGTGTTACATGTACTTAAATGTGCCAGGACGGAGGGCTATCCATATCGTCAGGGCCTCGACTTGTTCTATTCCGATTTTCCGGAAACACTCCGATCAGTTGTTCCGACAAACTGACCGAAACGATTGTTCACGAAAGTGTACTAATTTGTTGTTCCGGGCACTTGAAATCCTAAAAATGTTACGGCTTCGAAAAGGGTCGCTGCCCCCTCGACTCCCTGCCATTGAACACCTCAGACACAGCTTCTGATTTCTGCCAACAGAAAAGTGTCAGCCCTCTGCTAGTATCGTGTTTAGGGGGGGGGGGGGGGGACGCGGCGGCTGGAATGTATTGTATGGTTCGAAAGCCCACGGGACTGGCCCTCGCCGCGTTGGTTTGCGAATTTCGGCATCTTGCCCTGTTCCCGGCCCCGCAATCCTCGCATAGCTTGCCAGCTTCTGGGCAACAGCAGTTTTTTCCACACTTGGAATTGCCAGTGCACTGGCAACACTGGCTGTCAGGGACGCCAGTCGCGGGGTTGCCCTTTGCGGGCATCGCTGTGGAGAGAGCTGTCATGTCTCTTCTCTACTTATGCGAAGTTCGCGAAACGCGGGGAACTCACGAGTCAAGTTCGAATGCATAATTCGAAGTACGAAAAGTGCGCCCGCTGGATAATTCTGTTCAAGCTGTTCACAGTACAGTGGCTATGTCCTTCGAGCGCTTATTTCGAAGTGAAATGGAGTTGCTCTACTCGTCATTCGAAGTTCATTTTTTCTCCTTCTCTAGCCAAGAGTGACTCAAGAATCGATCCCTGGTCCGCTCCAGGATGGACAACAGCTTTGAAGAACCCCACCTTCTCTTGAAACTTGATTCAAGCCTGTGCAAGACAAAGTGCAAAGATTTGATTGAGGACGACTTCTTCCAGGTGTCTGGTTCCTTTCGCGAATCTCAGTGGCTTGGCGTGCCGTGCCAGCTCATGCGCAGCGATGTTTGGGACTCAACAACAACTAGAAATCGTAAAAATAATTGTCTGCATATGCTCCATTTCCGTTCAGACTTCTTCAGAACGACGCCGTTCTGCTCTCCGACGGGCTTTCATGACGCTGAGAAGTCAGTGCTGTTCTTTTCCGTTGAAATTGTTTCAGCACAGCTGCAGTGACTGACAAATTCTTCACTAAAAGCTTCGTAGAAGATGAAGATAAATGTGCAATGACCTTGTGTCGATCCAGTGTTTTGATTAAATGAACTAGTTCGTTGTACCTGACCACCCATATTTCGTTGAATTTGAGTTTGGAATTAGAGGAAGACTACCTGTAGTACTTCAGAGAGCAGTAGTCAAATTGAAAATGTTTTCATGATATGATCTAGCAAAATTAATGTTCTCTTGGATCTAGCTTGCAGAGGAAGTAAAGTTTGTCCTCCAAAGTGAGGGATATGTTTGGGGTTGCTAAGTGGGTACTTCAAAGCCTCATGGTTGCTCCATCCTACAGAACAGGTCCTCCATTTTCCCTCGACTTGGTACATCATGGTAAATAGCGCACTAAAAATCAAGATATCAACCATCCATGCATCACATGTACATGAATGGTCCTTTATTGGGTTCTTTGGGAAAGGGTTGGAGCAGTCCCCTCATTGCGGATCCTGCATACGCCCGTGTCTACTACTATACACTGTGTGTAAGTTGATAACCTGTATCAGTATAGTAGAGTGTTAAGTAAAGACACATGTAAAGCCATTACAGTGTAGTTAGTGACTAAGAATGAGCATAGGCCGCTCATCCATGATTCATGATACATTCTCTTCTGAATATTATCAGTACTTTAAAACCTGCCTTCTATTCTCTCTTTCCTTCTTTCAGACACCACAACAAACGTGTGCACCTTACACACTGTACCGGCAGATGTAAAGGTTTCGACAGCGTAGCAAGGAAGGAACTGATCACTGCAGTGAATGAGGCATTGTCAACTCTTGTATGTTGGAGTGACCTGGATCACTAGCCAAGCTGAGTTTCTGGTAATCACATAATCCAGCCGTTCAACGCCTAGCAGCTGCTTTCATCTCCCGATGATAGCGGTGAGTTGTATTGCAGAGCCATGATTACCATTGCTAGCTTCTGTATTCCTGGGAACTTGTGCCGGATAGTGTTGGGTCTGTTGCCAACGGGCTCGTCTGTTGAAGGTGTAATGTTGTACCTACCACCTTTGTTGGTTCCAGGGTTCATACACCTTCTATTTGAAGTATACCTGTTAACCATGGACTACTTCTGGCTAGATTAACTCTAGTGTGATCATGGTGCTAGTGAAGCTTGTATCAGATCCACTCTGATTTAGCCACCCACACTAGTAGCAAGTATTACCTTCACTGAGGGCAGGGGTAACTGCAGTTGGATCCCGGGACGGATACCCTGATGCCGTCAATCCTTTTTCTGCACCTTGTCCTCACCCACTTACTGAGGTGTGGTGAGCCCATAAGTGGGATCGTTTTCAAGTCCACCCAGAGTTTTGGGGATTTCAGGGGGCGTCGGCCGTTGGGCGGTTCAATAGCCAATTGAGTCATCTTTCCAAGATTCCTTTTGAGTCTCTCTCCCCTCTCCCGGGGAGACCCACGTGACCCAGTTTTGGCAGTGAGCAACAAGTACAAGTGTGTGTGTGTGTGTGTGTGTGTGTGTGTGTGTGTGTCCCATATGGTGCAGTGGTATGTGCAGTCGATTTCCAATCGAGAGGTTGCGGGTTCAATTCCCGACGATTATGGTCACACACGTCTTTCTTCTCTTTCTCGGACTCTTCCTGACTTTTCTTTCATTCTCCTGGGTGGTTACCAACAGCCAGTGTATGCCGGAGTATGTGGTGTGGAGTGTGTAGAAAAAAACCAAGAAAAAAAGAAAAGAAAAAATGGAAAATGAAAAATAGGGATTCACTGGCCAGAAAAAGTCACTTCAATCAGCTGTGTGGTGGATACCAGGCTAAAAATAGTGGCGGTCAATTCATCAGTCTTGCAAGCTGTTGAATGGTGTAATCCCAGCACAAGTTGCTATGTCTAACATAGCTGTTCGCTATCATCGCTTCCGCAATGGGCAGGTCTGAGGTGTGTGTGTCCCCCATATGGTGCAGTGGTATGTGCAGTCGATTTCCAATCGAGAGGTTGCCGGTTCAATTCCCGACGATTATGGTCGCACACGTCTTTCTTCTCTTTCTCATTCTCCTAGCTCTTCTTTCATCCTCCTGGGTGGTTACCAACAGCCAGTGTATGCCGGAGTATGTGGTGTGACGTGTGTGTGTAAAAAAATAATAATAATGAAAAATAGGGATTCGCTGGCCACTTAACCCTCACACCACAGGAAAGATGAGCCAGTGGGGTGTCGCAAGCTTATATTGAACGTGAGCACGACATGATTATTGTGATCATGATGACGTATAACATAGTTCGCGTGAAATGATCGGACTGGGCCGTCTAAGGCCGCCCATCTGAAACATAGTATGATAGGAACAAATAACGCCGTCTATTGGCTTTGAAAGAGCGTTTGAAAGATGACCCATGGGTTCATGTAACAATCATAAAGGCTGGGTGTACCAGTACATTGCTATGGCAACTGCATGACCACTAAGTACTCGGTAGTACCCACAACTAGATTTTAAAAATGGATTGTCTGCGGCAGCCGATGGATGTGCACCATGCGGATTTCGTGCCCATCGGCCGAGCCCGTGTCTCCCCTCCGTCCGCTAGGTGTGGGAGGGTGGGAAACAAAATTGCGTGGCGAGCTCTCACAGCAAAACAGACAACTGGCAAAAATTACACCAGCCAGCAGTAGAAGAGCCGTCTACGGATGCATCCGCCAGACGAAGGGTGGCTCGTGCGGGATGTCGTACGCGAGTTCGACTCGAATGCGGAACTCCGCAAGAGTGCGTGCTTGCGCAAGTCGACTGCGGCGGCACGGCGGAGTGTGTAAGGTCACCTAAAGTCATCTAGCGGGAATATTCCCGTGCGGGGCGCGGCCCGTGGCGTGCTGGTTAACTACGGTTTGCGCAACGCAAACCAACATCTCAATCATCTGTTTGGTGGATACCAGGCTAAAAATTAGTGGCGGTAAATTATAGTGCGTTTCAAAAGTATAGACCTCTAGACGTTTTCGAATAATTCAAATTTGGTTTGAGCTTTTTGAGAAATTTCTTCAGAATATTGCTCAGGCAGCTCACGCAATTTTTCTCATGGACATTTCTAAGCGATTGGATAACAGACGCCCAATTTCGAAAATTTTATGCACAAAGTGATCACAGATTTTATGTGGTATTGATGCTGGCCTAACGGTTTTTTGAAACCAGAGGTCTGGACTTTTGAAACGCACTATAGTGGCGGTCATTTCAAAAGTCTTGCAAGCTGTTGAATGGTGTAATCCCAGCACAAGTTGCTATGTCCAACAATGTTACATAGCTGTTCGCTATCGTCACTTCCGCGATGGGCATGTCTGAGGTGAGGTCAGGTGTGTGTGTGTGTGAGTGTGTGTGTGTGTGTGTGTGTGTGTGTGTGTGTGTGTGTGTGTGTGTGTGTGTGTGTGTGTGTGTGTGTGTGTGTGTGTGTGTGTGTGTGTGTGTGTGATTTCCAATCGAGAGGTTGCGGTTCGATTCCGGACGATTATGGTTGCACACGTCTTTCTTCTCTTTCTCAGACTCCTCCCGACTTGTCTTTCATTCTCCTGGGTGGTTACCAACAGCCAGTTCATGCCGGAGTATGTGGTGTGATGTGTGTGCAGAAAAATATGAAAAAGACCAAACGTGGGGAGTCACTGGCCAGAAAAAGCCACTTCATAGCTGTGTGGTGTAGACCAGGCTGAATAGTGGCGGTCAATTCTTCAGCCTTGCAAGCTGTTGAATGGTGCAATTCCAGCACAAGTTGCTATGGCTTCTGCTGTAGCATTGCCATCATCGCCTCCTGCGATGGGCGTCAAAAGCTCAAAGGATAGTGTGTGTGTGTGTGTGTGTGTGTTTGTATGTGTGTCTGTGTCTGTGTCTGTGTGTATGTGTGTCTGTGTCTGTGTCTGTGTGTATGTTTGTGTGTATGCAGAAAACTACACAGACCATAACTGCAGTGAAGAGTGTATGAACCGTGCTACAATAACCAGTTTATCATCGTCCTGAAAGTACTTCAAAATGTCTAACAGTAAGTCAGACCAGCAGTCCACCATAATTGAATGTGCAGTATCTTAGCAACAAGCCTTTGGTCACATGTGATTACAAGAGCAAACAAGAAACAAAACTCCTATAGACAACAGACTTGCTAAAGAAAGTAGATACCTTGTAGAGAACCAAACCCACTATGGAATGTTTGTTGCTTACAACCTTTGAGCCGCTGTTTTCCTGCCGACTTGACTTGTCATTTGACTGATCGTGACTGCCATCCCGCAGAGCCGCCCGTATACAAGAAATCCATCAAATGGTTCACTTTGCAAACCTTGGATGCAGGAGGCTACATGATGTTGATGTGTCAATGGGGTTTTGATTGGTCAGACATTCCTGTATATTTGGTTTGTGTCTCTTCGTATTCTCACCAGGTGTCGACGACGTCAAGCCCAGGAAAGGAAGACCGCCCCAACAGAAGGCACTCGCAACAGCCCTGTCAAAGCCAGCTATCGCCGTTTCAACCAGCGTACAGCGTGTCAACTCCAGGAAGGGAGCGCCCAAGAAGGTGCAGGCAACAACAAGCGCTCGTCGTAGTACTCAGCAACTACGACAGCGTCAAGTTGCAAGGACACCGACCAGGAGCTCAGCTGATCAGATAACGCTGACTAACACTATCTCGAGTAAGTGTGATCCCAACCAGCGTGATTCACACAACCCATCAGCTGAGATAAATGATAGTGCAATAACAACATAAGTGCAATAACAACATATTTTATCATGTCCCCTGCGCATCTGAATGCCACACATAAGAATGTTCCGGAGCACTTTGAGATTCACTCGCGGACGTGCAACAATTGCCACCTAGATGTGCTAGAGGCTGTTTACATTGCCAAGCTACAGCTTGAGCTTTGTAGACAGAAGGAGTTTGTTAGGAACAGCGGTGGATCCAGCGATCTTTACAGGGGGGAATTCCAGTGTAGTCAAAACTGAATAGCTGACACATATACATGGGCATGCATATGGTTTCCAGTAGTAGATTTAAACATTTTAGGGGGTTCCCCAGAACCTCTGGAACCCCTCCTGGATCCACCCTGAGAAAGCTAGTGCTATTTTCACTTCCCACTTCCCAACTCACACCATTCTAATTACGATAACTTTAAGTACAAAGTAGAGGCGATGGTTCGATACCGGAACGTCTTGACGGCCACATTTGTATAGACCCAAAACGATCATCAGCGTTGATTGTTCACTCGAAATATGTTTGTGGAAGGAAACTGGCATGTTGAAATTTGCTCTGAGGCCAGAGTCAATCGAACTGAGCCACTCCTTTGTGTTGACCCACTGCCTCCAAGTTGCCCAATTTTTGGCTTCAAATCAGAGGTGGCTCCAAACCGGACATGCTTTAGAGTGCACGTCAAATTCACTCTGAGTTCTGAAATTGGGTAATTGCTATCGCTCCACGATGGCCAGTACAGAGTAACAATAAGCCTTGTGTGTGCTTCCATTAGTTTTCATTAGTTTTGATTGGTATGCGGTGCTTTATTGGCGAGAGGCGAGCCGCTGTTTACCTGCGACAAGAAGTTGATTTTTCGAAAGTCGTAAAACTCAAGTCGCAGTACAAAGCAACGTGTCAAAATCTCACCTGCTTGATATGGTGCTTCTGGTCATCGCAGAGCCATGAAATTTTGGCTCGGAGTAAAACACATCGTAGTCTCACTGTGATATATGTTTTCTAATCAAAATACGAAGAGAGAAAGTGAATATTGAGTCCGGTCTGGTTTGCAACCTATGTCCTATTTGAAACCGTCGCCTCTACCATAAACCGGTGTAAAAAATATTCATCATGCAATGCATACATCTCACTGGTGTAAAAAATATTCATCATGCAATGCATACATCTCACTGGTGTAAAAAATATTCAGCATGCAATGCATACATCTCACTGGTGTAAAAAATATTCAGCATGCAATGCATACATCTCACTGGTGTAAAAAATATTCAGCATGCAATGCATACATCTCACTGGTGTAAAAAATATTCAGCATGCAATGCATACATCTCACTGGTGTAAAAATATTCAGCATGCAATGCATACATCTCACTGGTGTAAAAAATATTCACCATGCAATGCATACATCTCACTGGTGTAAAAAATATTCACCATGCAATGCATACATCTCACTATATCTACTTCAAGTACATACATAGTAAAAATATTAATAATGAAAAAATTCCTGCCCACACTAACTTCACATGGGTCCTGCCCGGAAATCTCGATTCTACTTTGATCTGGCCTTACAGAGAACCAAAGCCATTATAGAATGTGTGTTTCTTGCAACCTTTAATTAAGCCGGTGCTTTCCTGCCAACTTGACTTGTCATTAGACTTACTTGTGAGTGCCATCCCGAAGAGTTGCATACAGGAAATCCACCAAATGTTTCACTTTGCAAACCTGCAAGAAAACACCTCTCCCTGTTAAAAGCACAGCTTTACCGGGAGGTCACCCCACATCAGTTTAGCTTGTTTATGCTGAGGAAGGGGGGGGGGGGTGCACAAGGCTACATGATGTTGATGTGTGCAAATATGACTCATTTGTCATGGTGATTGGTTGTCCAGGATACTGTCTCAAAATTACTAATGATTATCTGTCAATGCTGTTTCGATTAGTTCGACATTCCTGTATATTTGTTTTGTGTCTTTTCGTATTCTTTAGATGAACCATTTGGTGATCCCAAGTTCATTGCTAATATCTTACCCTGGATCTGTGACATTGATACAACGAGGTTTCGACATGCTGTGCAGGGCAAATGCGTGTTCATAAGTATAACGGAAATTGAGACATTGCTGCGTCTGGAGAAGTACGAAGGAAAGGAAGCGCATAATTCTCACATCATCAGTCTTATTCGTCCTGGAGGCACATTTGCTTATAAACTGCTCTGCAATGCAATCCATGACTTGGGTCCACTGTACAATGAAAAGTACCAAGAAATGCTTCTCCTGTTGCCCGTTGACCAGCGACCAACGACCAAGACATCCTCTCATGGGACAGGTAATTGATATGTCCAGAATGTGGGTATACCACTGACAGTCTGAACGTCCCCAATTTAAACATTGCCATCAATCAAACTTCTGCTGTTAAGGGAAATTTTAGTTTTGTACCTTACCAGCAGAATACAACTCATTACACCAACATGTTGTCTAGCTAAAAGCGAAATATACCCCTCTTGCGGCCGCGCTACACAACAGAAGGCCAGCTGTTTAATTGGAGAGAATACTTTGTTCTTTCTCTAAGGAGTCGTCTGGACAACTGACGTATGACAACTGACGAATGACAACTGACAAGTGAATAATATCCAGGAAAGTGGTGCACTCATCAGGGCAAAAGTGGTGCGCTTATCAGCACAAAAGGTGCACGGGTCAGCGATACAATGCTGTCCCAATGGGGACCAGTGCGAGAAGTGTGTACAGAGTGGGTGACTATAAAGCCTAGTTCACATTCGACAGGGCACGACGGGACATGACGTAAGGATCGACGGGAAGCGATGGGACAGTCTGACGGCGTCCAATGTGAACACCAGGAACGGTAACACAGCCGTACTGCCGTACAGATCGGGAAGCGACGGGAAGAGTTGGATCGATCCAACTTTTCATACCGTAGACGGGCGTAGACGGGGATGCAAGTGTACAAAACAGCTGCATTTTGAGTGTGAACAGGAGACGGCGGTGTGCGCCGACTACTCCCGTTTCGTACTTGGGAAATTTTTAGCATTTCGAACACTGTGCTTCCCATGATAACTCGCAGAATGGCTAACACGACTTGAGTTGAATTTTAGCAAGATACGGTCTGGTGTCACTTATGGCATTTAGGGATAGTTCAGGAGCGTGAGAGACGGACTGTTTTATCATTCTCTGGAGCTATAATTTGAATGGCACACCTTTCGATGCTACTTTTTTGGTGTTCATGAAAAACTGGTATTGTGAACTTGATTCCGCTTCATTCAAGGAGAAATAATTGAAAAGAAGTACCGAAAAACAAGAAAATAGGTCCAAAGGTCACCCTGTCATGGGCCGTGCCTTATGACTGGCGGCGTTCGCTGCTGAACGACGCAACGACTGCAGCATGTCGTGTCGTACGAATCGTACAAGATTTTACAGCTCACCCCAGCCTTCCCGACAGGCCTTACGTCCCGTACCATCAGCGTTCCGTCGAATGTGAACTAGGCTTTATGCATGTGAGTACACACCTGTTGCAAAAGCGCAGCAGCGTGTACCACGATTCAGCAGCATGTACCATGTACCACGATTCAGCAGCATGTACCACGATTCAGCAGCGTGTACCATGATTCAGCAGCATGTACCACGATTCAGCAGCGTGTACCACGATTCAGCAGCATGTACCATGATTCAGCAGCATGTACAACTCTATCCCCCACCGCAAAAAGACATCCTCTCCTGAGGATGAAAGCAAAACAAATGAAGCCCAACAAATTGAAGAAGACAGATCGGAGAAGACAGAAAGATGAAAGAAATGAAAATGTGAATGAGCATAAAAATGCGAGAATAAAACCCAACATGTATGACCACAATTGTTGGACACGTGACGAGTAGCCGCACGCTGGACTCCGCGATGCTGCCGGGAGCGGTGAGACCGACGGCACTCACGGACCGAGAAGACAGTGGCAGCAGAACCGGGTATCCAGGCATCGTGCAGCACAGGACGCACACTGGAGGGTTGACCGCAAAACCACCACACAGCAGATGGGGTAACAAAAACTCACAGAGACACAAAGACGGACACAGAAAGAAAAACAGACTAACACAAACATCTCAACCATCGCCAATAATCAGAAAAGAAAACCACACGAAGGAATGGAATAATAGCAAGGAAGAACACGTCTACAGAAACAGGAGCGATTAATCAGTGAGGACACCAGATACCACACACAAAAATCGGTTACCAATACGCAAAAAGACATTAAAGAAAAAATCACACAGCGCTACCCTGAATAGCCCCAGGGATCCACCCTGACAACCACAGGGATAACACCATAATAACACCGGAAACATATACACTCATACCTCGTTTATCCGGGCAGTCCGGGACCTTGCACTGCCCGTAACTTTGAAATGTCCGTAACTCCGAATCATATACATCTTGATGGGGAAAGTGCACAAGTGTGCACAGAACATGGCATGTGACGTCACTTTTTCCACACAAAGTGACAAAGGAGTAGTAATATTTCCACTGAAACTTGCTCCCAGGGTGCCCGGTAGACCGAAGTGCCCGTAACTTCGGGGTCCGGATAACCGAGGTATGAGTGTAGTACATCCGCTTGCAAAGCAAAAAACCAAAACCGTCAGGCACTTATTGTGACGCACATGTGACAACCAGCAACACCCAGAACCCACAACACCCGCAAGGCAAACCGATACAAATAAGAGCATGATCCCTCCAGCCCACCAGGCAGACCGTGGTTCACCAAGATCGGACGCTCGCCCACCCAGGTGAACTGAAGAGACCCACATGCCGAAACGCAATACAAATATTAATAAGATGCTCACGAAAAAATTTCAACCTGCATCTATAACGAGAATCCTAGATGCATTTCGCACCTCCCACCAAACCAGAATCTAGCAGCTTTGCTACATTTTCGGCAGTGCATGCCTGAGCACGACAATGCTCCACACAGAACATGGAGAACAGTTTTTCAAGAAAACGCTGCCCTGTTCATTGTGTTGGACTTTGTGAAATGCAGCTGTGGAGTATCGACCAGTGATACTGGCAAACTTTGAAATTATTTTACAACAAAGCTGTACACAGCATCAATCGAGATTACTCACGTATTTATTTCTTTTGTTGACGCCATTCAGTTCAGTTCTTATGTACCGTGTGTGTATGTAAAGAGTACAATCAGTGGTTCACACACACACACGCACGCACGCACACTAACAAACACACATACACACACACACACACACATACACACACACACATACACACACACACACACACACACATACACACACACACACACATACACACACACACACACACACACACACACACACGAACACACACACACACACACACACACACACACACTAACACTATCTATATCTACTGTCATGGTCATGGAAATCCTGTCGATTGACCGGGGACCGGCGCCCTCAGCGCGTACAGAACAGCGCGTGCAGTGCATATTGTTGATCTGATGCGTCCAGCGTGCTGCAGCACATTGATGCTTGTGTGTACCGCTTATCCACATCTGCATGGCCAGCACCCTGGGGCCGCTAGACGTGTGACCGTATTTCCATGTCCACGACAGTAGGAATATACTTGTCAACACACACACGCGCACACACACACACATACACACACACACACACACACACACACACACACACACACACACACACACACATATTCATGTACATAAACATAATTGCAGACACTCCTACGTCCCGTCTGTGCGTACAACGGTGTACTCACGCACGCACTCACAATCAATCAACACATAGGTTTGGGAGTTGCCATGACCTCATTTTGATTAAGTATATTAATCATACTGGGCTTTAAATAGTGGGTTATTTTTCTTGATGTTCATATCACCTGATGAGTGCCTGAGATGGCATGAAACTTTAAGTTGTGACTGATCAAGCCATCTGTTGTTCTGACTAGTGTGGATTAAATATATTAAATATATTAGTATGTGATGATAGACCAGTTCCAAGACAGCAAATGATAATAGTTGCGTCATATCATCACATTCGATCATCATTAATTCACCCCACCCACCGGGGGCAGACGCACGAACGGCCCGACATCATATTATATGTGTGGTGTGACGCCTCATGCCAGGCAGTTGTGTGAGTTCTTGGCCACCAAGGGCTAGCCTGCAGCTGCCCACCGTGGGCCGGTGACATGAGCGGCTGGGGAGGTCAACAGCCAAGCCACTGAGGGCTAAGTAATCCTGCCCGCTGTGGACCGTTAGCATACTGCCCACCGAGGGCGCACAAATGGCCGACATGGCCAGAAACATGCCCGCTGCGGGCGCATGAACGGCCGCCCAGGCTAACAGCTTACCCATCGAGGGTTAAAGCATACTGCCCAACCGAGGGCACGAGAGAAGCGTATAGCCCGACCGAGGGCGCATGATTATAGCCCGATCGAGAGCGCATGATTATAGCCCGACCGAGGGCGCATGATTATAGCCCAACCGAGAGCGCATGATTATAGCCCGACCGAGAGCACATGACTATAGCCCGATCGAGGGCGCATGATTATAGCCCGACCGAGAGCGCATGATTATAGCCCGATCGAGAGCGCATGATTATAGCCCGATCGAGAGCGCATGATTATAGCCCGACCGAGGGCGCATGATTATAGCCCGACCGAGGGCGCATGATTATAGCCCGATCGAGGGCGCATGATTATAGCCCGATCGAGGGCGCACGATTATAGCCCGACCGAGGGCGCATGATTATAGCCCGACCGAGAGCGCATGATTATAGCCCAACCGAGAGCGCATGATTTTAGCCCAACCGAGGGCGCACGAACGGCCGCCGAGGCCAGCAACCTGCCTACTGGAGGCTAAAGCATACCGCCCAACCGAGGGTGCACAACGGCCGTCAAGGCCAATAGCCTGCCCCCGAGGGCTAAAGCAAACTTCCCGCCAAGGACTAAAGTGTAGTACCCACCGAGGGTCAAAGAATGCTGCCCACCGTGGACCGATTATATACTGCCCACCGAGGGCTCAATCATATTGCCTATTGAGCAAACGAACAGCCACCGAGGCCGACAACCTGCCCACCAAGGGCAAAAGCATACTGCCCGCTAGGGCCGACCTCATACTGCCCAGCGAGGGCAAACGAACGACCACCGACGCCAAGAACTCACACAACTGCCTGGCATGAGGCGTCACACCACACACATACAATATGATGGTGGGCCATTCGTGCGTCTGCCCCCGGTGGGCAGTGTGAATTACTGACGACCGAATGTGATGATATGACGCAAATATTATCGTTTGCTTTCTTGGAACTGGTCTA